CCGTTGACTAACGTCTTTTCAAGATACCGTGGTGAATTCTCGAACGACGCGATGAACGGACTGCAGACGCAGCCATCGAGAGAAGATAAGTGTTCGATAATGTAAACGAGCGTATAGTGAAACACGCGTATCGAAGGCCTACACGAACCTCGAGGTGTCGTTTGGTTTATCCGCGAAACGGTTCGCGCTCGATCGAGATGTCGAGATCGCGAATCGCTCGTCGATGAACATGATTGGACCAGAGTAAAGAAAAGTCGAACGCTTGACCGTACAGTCGACCAAAAAAGTCATTAGAGAATTTAGCGAGACAGGGAATTATCATCGGTGAAATTATCGATTCTAGCACATAGAGGTAAAAACATTTCGGGTCGAACACGATGTCACATTATTATATACGAATTAGTGAATCCGCGCGCGGGGAACGTACAACGTCACGCCACCGTAAGACTGCAAACACAACAAACAAACGAATTAAAGGAACAACCAAACAAACAAACGAAAAGAAGAAAAAACAAAAAAAAAAAAAATGAGAGAAAATCGCGACCGCTGAAAACGGTGTTTTTTACGATTATTGTACTATATTTACGATTATTGATGCGTTTCGTTTTTCGGCGTTAGTTTCCGCAGCATCGAGTCAATCGACGCGCGACATTTAAATGCAAGTATTCGCACAGGCCTACGATAAGAGAAACTCTTTATATACGTATCCATGATGTTTCACGTGTAACACTAAATAAACAAGCATTAATTGTCATTCAGCTGATCGACGATCGGACGACATGCGTAGCGCTCTAGAAAGAAGAAGAAGAAAAAAAAAGAAAAAGAATGGGATAATATACCGTACCGAGAAGCTTTTGCCTCCAATCGAAATGGCGGAACGACTTTTCACTCGCGTTTTACACTTTGCAATTGGGCCTAATCGACGGATCCCGCTACCATTTCTGACTACCTTTCGTTCCTCGAACCCTGAAATTTCGGATGGCACGCTACTTCCGCTAGCACGGCGATATCGTAATGGAACTGTACGAAAGGGAAGCAAGAGAACATTACGCTGCGGGAAACATTAAAAAGACGAGTTTATAGGTACGTTAATTTTTTTCTCATCGTGGACTCCAACAACATCGAACGAACGTTGCGAATCATTGATCATTCTCCGCGATGGTAGCTCGTTGGCGAACGCCGTCCGCGCGTATACATTTTTATAATCGACGATTTTTACCCCTAGTTAATGGTAATAATTCGCAGAACGGGGAACGACATCGAAGGAAATTCTCTCCGCGTTCGCCGACGAGCGCCTCGTTAAATAACGTCCGAGAAATCCGGTTGCAGTTGCATTACGATTTAGCATGCGATGTTTCGATTCGACATAGTACAAAAATTCGCAAAAAAGTTTGGAAGAACTGGAAGAACAAGATATGTATAAATTGGAAAACAGCCGACAACTCGTACGATCGTGACTCGTTGGTTTCACCCTGAATGATCGTACGACGTTTCGGTTGTTCTCGGCCGCAGCTAAACCCTAAATAGAAAAGCGCGAAATGCAAAAAAAAAAAAAAAGAAAAAAAAAGAAATAATGCACAGTGGAAAACAAGCAAAAGATTATACGTATGTCCTTTCACTGTAACAGTATCTTGACCAATTAAATACTAAGCTAGCATGGATGTATACACACTGAGATAAATGTTAACCAGTTACCTGCGTAATACTCAATGTTAAGTGTCGGAACTGATGCTCGTTCAGATTTTTCTTGACGACTGTCCTTGCTCGTGCGAACTCACGGTTTTCTTTCTTCCATTTGCGCAAAACGTGAAATATTGCCAACGACTGTCTGCCAATCGTTTACGCGAACTTTTTAAACGAACGAGGGAAAGAAAAGAGGATGAAACAAAACGGGGCAAAACGAGAAAGAGAGAGAGAGAGAGAGAGAGAGAAACAAGACGAAGAAATCGTTAAGAGACATTCCAAGCCGCTTTTTTTAGACGATCAACGAAATAAAACATTATTTGACTGCCATGTACGATATTTTACGACGATTTTATAGACGAGAGAACGGAGTGGATCATCGAACGATCAAGTTTCCACTTCGCGTTCGATATACAACCTAAGTACCACGATTCGAATGAAGAATAATTTCCGTTTTTTTTTAAAATGCGAATTTTCTTGTGATCTGTCCTGGTTCCAGAAAAGAAAACAAAAGAAGAAAAAAAGAGAGAAAAAAGAAAGAAAGGAAAAATTGCGACTACACGACACGTATTGATACGCGAACAAACTATTGTCACAGCTAATAAGTGTGTATTTTTTCTTTGTTGTATACGTATCCGCCGTGTAGAAGAGTAGCGAACCCCCGCTCCAGCTCCCAACCCCTTCTCTGATGCGATCATTGTTGCAATCGATATCCCACAAGTATGTTGTAGTAATATACACTTCTTACTATCGAAAAATATCATGAGTTTTCATTGTATCGATCGTGCAGCTATAAATCACGCCATTACATTGCGTCTATTTCATATTTTCTTTTCTCTTCATTCATCGTTGGTTTCTTTCATACCATTTCTTTTTCTCATCTCACATTCCAGGGTTCGTTTTAACTCTCTTGTATTCGTTTCATGCATTTTTGCATTTCGCAATTTTTCAAATAAAATCCGCAACTGCATACGCACGATTCATCGTGATCTTTGCTTTCCTACAGGAATCGATTACAACGCGGTAATAATTTCAAAATGAAACCAACAAAAAAAGAAAAAAAAGAAAATGATGTGTGGGCTAGAATTTACAGAAATATAATTTTTCAGATTATTTAAACGTAAGTTTACGAGGGAATGAAATGTTATTCGAAGAGGAGCTACTGAATAGAATTTGCAGATCTTTACACACGCATTTTATTCGTTAAGTTGAATGTAGGAAGAAAGTTTAGGGTTTAGTTAGGAATATCCAGTCGTAAAAGTTTATAAATTGATCATCTTAGTTAAATTTTTTTTTTTTTTTTTTTTTTTTT